TGATTTCAAAGTGTCTTGAAACAAGTCTTTCTCTCTCTCTCTCTCTCTCTCTCTCTCTCTCTCTCTCTGTGTGTGTGTGTGTGTGTGTGTGTGTGTGTGTGTGTGTGTTGTGGCTCGCAAAGGATATTTGAAGGTCTGTGACATAGCTTCAGTTGTCAAGTTGACACACCAGGAAGAAGAAACCTCAGTTGAAGAATTGCCTTCATCAGATTGGCCAGTGGGCAAGTTGGGGGGGGGGCGCGTTTTGATAATTGATGTAGAAGGGCTCAGCCCACTTGGTGTGGTACTACCCCTGGGTTAGTGGTCCTAGGATGTAAAACAAAGCAGGCTGAGTTAGTCGTGGGGAGCAAGCCATAAGCAGCATTCCTCTGTGGCCTCTGCTCCAATTCCTGTCCCCAGATTCCTGCCCTGATTTCCCTCTGTGAGGGACTATAACCTGTAAGCCAAATAAACCCTTTCCTCTCCTCATTTCTTTTAGATATTGTTTTATCTCAGTAGCATGAGATGTGAGACACATATGAGGACAGCTGGATTATTGATAGTTCTTTCCTTCCTCCTCTTTGAGGTTTGATGGTGGTATTGATTGATAGCTCCCCAGCTCCCCTTTATCCATTTGTTCCTCTCATGATATGTTAGTATTAAGTGTCTTCTCATGGAGAAATTGTCATCCTCCTCATCTATAGTATTCCTCTGTGGATTATCTACAGTACTTCCTTGATTGACATCAATTTCTCCAACTTCTGCTTGTCTTGAAATGTTCATATTTCTCCCTCAGTTTTACAAGAAGTTAACCAAGGGTATCAACCTTGGTTAACAATGCTTTATTTTAAGGCTTGAGATATATTCATCCATGTTTTCCTGGCTCTCCTGGTTACTGTTGAGACAGCTGATGTTATTCTGATGTCTCTGTCTTTGTATGTGAGTTGTGACTTGTCCATTATAGTTTTCAGTGTTTGTTCTTGTATTTTTTTTATCTTGTACTATGATGCATCATGGAGGGAGTCCTTCTCATCACATCTTTTTGGCTTCCAAAGTCTGGGGAACTCTCAGCTATAATTTCATCAAATTAATTGTATAAACCCTGTAGGCTTTATCCCAGAGCCTTCCTCTACCACAGGCATTCTTAGTTTGGTCTCTTCACTATTATCAAAGATTTCTTGTACATTTTGTCCTTTCTATTGATTTTCCTTTCATATGTAACGTTTCTATGCACTGTCTCAGCCTTGGCCACCATTCCTGGAATCCATTCCTCTTACCAGTCTTGTCCGTTTATAATGCTTTCCATTGTCTTTTCTTTTAATTTAGTGTTATTGACTGATTCTTTCATTTACAGAATTTTTTTTGGTTCTATTCCATTGTGTTGATTTATGTGCTGACTTTTTCCTCTGTGTGTTCAAATCCTCACTCCAAGGTTATTGAGCATTTCATCTACTCTGGTCACTTTCTTGTCCGGGTCCTGTTGATCTTTGATTAATTTTTAAAGCAAGACTGTGAAATATTTTTATGGACTTTCAACTATTTTATTATCTTTCTTTTTTGGTATTGAGAATGTCAGCTTGTGAGATGCCATTATGCATTGCTGGCTGCTGGCTTTTGTTCGCTTTGTGTGTTTGACTCAGTTGTCGCGAAGTGTGTGTCCTTTGGGACATAGTTTGCCCCTTTTGTTAGTTGTATTTTTTTCTTTGTTTTATTTTTCTCAGTGCTGGGGACTGAACCCAAAGACTTGCACTCTCAAGGCAAAGGCTCTGTCACTGAACCAAACCCCCACTTCTTTTTGTTTTCTTTTATGTAAGTGCCCTGATGAGTTACCTATCTTTGTGTGGATTTCTGTTGGGGGTGGAGTTGACTGCAGTGGCATATATAATCATGTGACAGTGGTCCCAGTAATAATAGTAGCACAGGAAGACACTTGTGACCTCCATCTGTATCCTCTAGAAGGTCCAGATACAGTATCGCTAGGGTTCCTGTTGAAAAAATAAACTTAGTTTATATTTTTTAGAGCTAATGGTTTCAATCTTTAAGTAGTTAAATAAGAAAGGAATGGGTAAGGGGAAAAGCAGAGTTATAGTCAGAATGAGATGAGAGAGTCTGGGTAGGTGTATGATGAGTAGTAGGAAGACTATTGTATATTAGATGTAGAAGAAGGAAAGGGAAAACAATGTATACTTTTCTGGTGAGAATCAAGTTAAAATACAATGACTAACCAAAAGACAGAAGTGGACACTTTATAAACCTAATCAAGAAACTTTAATTCAAATAAAAATAATAAGGCCTGGAGAGGGAACTCAGTGGATAAAGTACCTGCTACCAAGCCTTAAAACCTAAGTCCTCCCCCCAAAGCTCATGTAATAGGAGGAGAGCACCAACCCCTACAGAGTTTTGTCTGACTTCCCCATGTATGTGCGTACACATGCACACACATACACACACAAACACAAATAAATAAATAAATGTAATTAAAAATATGTCAACAAACAAAAATAAAATTAAACAATAATAATTAAAACTGATAACAAATTAGCTAGGCGTGGTAGCACATACCTTTATTCCCAAGATTTGGACGTCAGGGTCAGGATTCTCTGAGTTTGAGGACAGCCAGGTCTACACAGAGCATTCCAGGCTGGCCAGGGCTACACAGTAAGATCCTATGTATAAAGAAATACAACAGAAGATAGTATGCTATCAGTCTGTATTTCTTCCTGCTTGTGTGTGGGGAGGAGAGGAGGCAGTGCTCTCTCCTTTCATGGATAGGGCGAGGCTGCTAATGTCAGGCATTCAAATTAAGTCAGAAACTACTTCCTGGTAGAAGTCCTTCTCTGATTTCCTCAGGTTGGGAATTACATTCCATCTCTCGAGATTTGGGGGGTTATCAGGGCAGCGCAGGGATATCTGTAGCCAAGGCTCTGGGGGCCAGTGGAAGATCCAACATGTTTGTCCTTTCTAGTCTATCAGATTAATAGTCCTAGCACATCTTACCACAAAGGTCCCCTGCTCCTGTAAGACTTCACCTCTGATGAGGGTTGGTATTATGGAAGGTGGGAGGTGTTGAGAGGAAACCGCCCTAATCGCCCCTCTGCTGCTGTCACCTCTGGGTATGCTGGCAAGCACCTTCTGTACACATCAGGATTCAACAGTGACTTCTGCTTGCATGTCTACCAACCCTGGACCCTTTCCTGGCCAGGCAGCAGTGCGGGTGGGCTATGTACTTAAGATCTCTCTACTTCAGACTTTTCTTCCTCTGGTACTGTGTCCACAGTCTACTGTGCTCTGCCTCCCTCTCAGAGACATTGAATTCAGCTTCTGATTTCGGCATCCAGCATCCAAACTGTCAGACACTAGTGATAGCTGGTACCCAGTATCCTTGAATACATGCTCTGAGCAGTACCCAGGCTATCAAGAGCATCTTGGAACAGGAGGTTGGAGTGGAAGTGTCTTCTTCTTCCTTCCTTGTTTCTGTTCTCTGTGGCTCTTTAGCTTATTTCTGTATTGGTGGATTTTATCTTGGCTTTTCTCCATCCAATCACATGATCTCTAATCAGCTATCTTAACCTTATTTGTTCACAGTGGCTGTCCCTGAGCTTCCCTGTGAGAGATTGCATGTTGGATGATATAATCGACATGTTTTTGTAAGCTGGTCCTCTATGAAAAATCACAGCTGATAATAATAAATATCACTGTTTAAAGACACTTTTGTGAAGATATAAAACTTGAGTCTCTAGAGATGTATCTGCTCACTAATGTTACATTAAGAGCTCCTCTCAGCCAGCCTCTCTTAGTTCTCACCTATACTACTTTCATCTCCTTCTGAAGAAAGGCTAGCATGAAACCATTTTCTTTCTCACCTGTCACATAGGAGAGCAAACATTGTACTAAGAAGAAACTCTGAAGAGACAGAAGTAGCCAGTTAATGAAAGTAACTAAGGGCTAATAAAATAGTCCCACTCATCTAACCCAGATCCATTTCCAGAGGCACACCTATGGGAACTGAGATGTCTAGAAACTAGCTTTTGTCACAACTCCCTCTTGTCTCCAGGTGGTATCTAATGACTTCTTCATGTTTATCAGCAGTAGGCTGACCCCTAAGCCCACATTCTCACCTGTCTCATGTTTCCGTGCAATGCTACCTTGCCATCAGTGGAACACGGGCTGTGATACCCTTAAAATTCTGTACATCTGACTAAATGGGTTGTGGCTTTGAAATAAGAACAACATAGATAGTGTTGATGTTTTTGGAAGTCAGGGAAAGAGGTATTCTTCATGGAAAAATGGGTCAGAGAGCATTTAGAGAAGGCAGCCACTGTCTTGGGAACACTGAATAGATCAAAAGAAGGAGTTATCCTTAAATAGTGGTGTCAGAGCCCTGGCAGGAGGGGGGGGCTTGTCCTTAAATTGCTCAAGACTTGGAGCATACAGGCACAGGTGCCAGTGAAAACTCTATTCTTTGACACAGGTGTGTAGACATAAGATTACTGTGTAATTCAAATGCTGATTTCTGTATCCCCTATATCTGGTTGTAATCCTTGTTCTAAGAATCTCCTGTCTCAATGTTGTATAAATGCAGCTTCCCAAATTGTTCCCTGATATGCCAATAAAGCAGCCTATAGCTAATCACTGCGTAAGAGAGAAAATAGGGCTGGACTTCCTGCCAGCCAGGTGAGGAATAGTTAGAAGAGGAAGTAGGAGATTCAGCCACAGGGAGATGTCCATAAGGGACCAGGAGAGAGAGCTCAACAAGCAAAGCTACAAAATGCAAGTATCTCTGGGATGCACGCTGGGAGGAAACCAAATTAGCTTAGAGGTTAAGAAAAGAGTTAATACTGCTCACGATTGTGTTGTGAAACTTATTCTTAAACAAATATAATAGAATCTCAATTACTTGTGTGATAGGCTGGGCTAAGAGAGAAACTGAGAAACAAACACAATTTTGTAAAAATAACTAACACTGGTAAGTTCTGCATCTCAGTTTCTCACCTCTGTTTTCCTTCATTTCTACTCCACAGTGTGGATGATGCCCCCTACGAAGTCATGAAGATTGACATCGAGATCGAAGGACCTAGTGACCCACCCAGCACACAGCTTGTCACGTGGCAGGTTGAATACCCAGGAGAGATCACATCTGACTTGGGGGTGTCCAAGATCTATGTGAGCCAGAAAAACTTGATTGGGGTCATACCACTGGCCATGGTAAGAGAGCACTTGGGGAACTGGGAATGGGAAGGCTTCATGCTGTGATCCAAGCTTAGGGGTCAAGGATGTCAGTCAACAAAGACCAAGATGGGGACAAAACTGGGTCCATGAAATGTCACTGATGATAGCCAACCATATTTTATTCTAAGTAATGTTCTTTAAATTGTGTTTATAAAATGTAGTTCAGTTATAAGCCTGTCTTTATAAGAATATCATGGATGATGGGATGAACATGCATGCCATAATGTAAGTTACTTAAGGATTTTAAACACATGCAACTGTGTAGAGGACTTGGTTTAAGTGTATATATGCTCATACCAAGATGCAAGGAAGGCTGGGCTCTCTGTTCACCAACACCACAGTGACTTGACCCTTCCACAAGGAACAGAGAGAATAGATTTTAAAAGGTGATGGAGCATCTATGCAGGGAGTCCTTATCTCCATGGGAGAAAAACAGGGCTGATGGATACATTCATCTTGGTGCTGAGGGTACAATGTTCTCTACTGGCATTAGATACCTTCCTGTAATGCAGAAAAACACAACTCAATTCTTGCTTTGCTTCCTTTTGCTATGATAAACACCAGGACCAAAGACAACTTGGGAAGGAATGGGTTTATTTTCAGGCCATGCAGATTTTATGTATATGAGTACTCTGTCTTCATGCACATCAGAATGGGAAATCAGATCTCATTTTAGATGGTTGTGAGCTACCAACGTGGTTGTTGGGAATTGAACTCAGGACCTCTGGAAGAGCACTCAAGTGCTCTTAACCACTGTGCCATCTCTGCAGCTCCCAGAATGGGTTTGTTTTACTTACAGCTTAAAGTCCATCACTGAGGGATTCAGAGAAGGAACTCAAGTCAGGAACCTGGAGGCAGGAACTGAAGCAAAATCCATAGAGGAATGCTGCTTACTCCTGGCTTGCTCAGCCTACTTTCTTATATCATTCAGGACCAACTGCCCGGGGATGGCACTATCCATGATGGGCTAGACCCTTCCATATCAGTCATCAATCACGAAAATGCTCTTCAGACATGTCCTCAGGCCAATCTGATGGAAGTATTTTCTGAATTGAAATTCCCTATTCTCAGAGACTATAGCTTTCATCAAGCCCACAAAACAAAGAAACAAACCAAAAACAAACTAGCACACCATACAACCGTACATTATTTGGTCCTCAGTTACTTCTTCTTTAGAGGGTAGATGAAAATCAGAGCCAGTATTTAGTGGGAAGAATGAAACAGCAGTTGCTGGACCTGAGGCTGGAACTCAATGGTGTAGTGCTTGCCTGGCAGGTACCAGGATGGGTTTTAATCCCTAACCCAACAAAACTTTAGATAGATAGATAGATAGATAGATAGATAGATAGATAGATAGATAG